TATATATATATATATATATATATATATATATATATATATATATATATATATGTATATATTGTATATATATATTTAGTAAAGTATTTAGTAAAGTAGAATTAAATTTGATCAATTATAATACAACTTTGCAAATTATATTAGCTATACTTTATTAATTACATTTAAAAGAATAAAGTAAAACAATAATATATCAATTGCACTAATAGTTATCGATATATTTAACTGTATATATATATATATATATATATATATATATATATATATATATATATATATATATATATATATATATATATATATATATATATATATACAGTTAAATATATCTACATAACTATTAGTGCAATTGATATATTATTGTTTTACTTTATTCTTTTAAATGTAATTAATAAAGTATAGCTTATATAATTTGCAAAGTTGTATTATAATTGATCAAATTTAATTCTACTTTACTAAATACATTGAAACTTTAAATCAATTGCAACTGCTTTAAATTTTGTTTTAAATTACTTGTAACAATGTTATTTAAAACTTGATACTTTTATAAAATCACTTAACAAAATATATTGATAAATGAGAAAATCACTTAATAAAATCACTTGATAAAATCCCTTAATAAAATCAAAAAGTATTTTGCTGATAATTAAAATAATAATGAAAAAACATTTTGTTTATAGTTAGTTATAGGTTAATAGTTTAAAAACAATGACTTTTTAAGTGCGGGTAAATGAAGAAATGCGAGAATGTCAACGTGTAAAATGCACAAATAAAATGTGGAAAAATTCTCCCAACCCCTACACTACCCCATAGTCACAAGAAAAATTTATTCTTATGACTATGGATAGACCTATACTTTCGTCTCGGACATCTCGGTCTCGGAAACCTCTGTCATTTTTCTCGGAATACCGAGAAAATAAATATGGTAAAAATAATAAAAACCGAGTAAAAAGAGATTACTGAAAATTATTGAAAACCTTCAAAATTTAAGCTTTCCTTTTTTTAATGAGAGAAGAGTCAAAACGTTTTTGAGTAAACAAGAGTCTTTAACATAAATTTTCTCACGAGGAACAATTTTTCACGTATTTCTCCAAAGGAAACAGGTGAAAAATAAAAAAGCGCTAATTTTGAAGATTTTTAGTTTTCTTCAGTAATCTCAGTTTCATTAATCTCAGTTTAATCATACTTTTAAAAATCGTATAAGTTACAATTGCAGTCAGTGTTGCCACGGGACGACTGAATAAGCGCGAATTTCATAAGTGCGAACTGGCATAAGTGCGAATGGCGTAAGCGCGAACGTGCATAAGCGCGAATTGGCATATGTGCGAACTGGCATAAGTGCGAATTGGCATAAGTGCGCCGAACAAATTTGCAAACTTTGGCATAAGTGCAAATTGGCATATATGCGAACTTGCATAAGTGCGAATCAGTTACAAAAACTGACACAAGTGCGAACTGCCATAAGTGCGAATTGGCATAAGTGCGCCGAACAAATTTGCAAACATTGGCATAAATGTGAACTGGCATAAGTGCGAATTGGCATAAGTGCGAAATACTAGTTTGCACTTATGCCAATATTAGAAATTTTATTTAGCGCATTTATTATACAATGTCTAATATTATCTGGAAATTCAATGACCCCTACAAAATCTTTAGAAAGAAGTAACTATATCTTGTAATTTTTCTTTAAGTCCAATAACATCTGAAAATATTTTCTCTGGATGTAATTACATTTGAAAAAAACTTATATGTGTCTACATATCTAGCTAAAATAAGGCAAAAATATTTAATATTTTTTCCCAGAATCTGGCAAAAAATATTAAATATTCTTGCATCTGAGATGTAAATACATCTGAAAAAAACCATATATGTAACTACACCTGGTTAAAATAATATATTACAATTTAATAATTTCATAAAATCCTATAGTTATTTAATATAATTGAAAAGATGTAACTACATCTGTAGTAATCATATACTTTTTACACAGCTATCTTTGATCAATCAAATTTCAGATGTTGTTGAACTGATGTTATTATACCTCAGTGTATTTACAGATGTTGTTGAACAGACTTGGTTATACATCAATATATTTACAGATGTTGCTCGACAGATGTTATTAGACGTAGCAAAAACTGAGATTGCTACCCAGACCCGATATCAGAGTTGATAATGCCACCCGGCGGCAAAGTAAATTTCTGCCACTGGACATTAGAAAGTTACTTTATGGTATTTATTTATGTATACATAAATATACTTTATGTATTCATGTATCCATAAAGAATGATATTCCAAAGTATATGTGTATATGCATGTACTTTAAGTTATATGCATGTACTTTGGGATACTTGTAGTATTATTTTAATATTATTTGTTTAAGTACTTTATTGGTAATACCGTTGTCAGTGTTCTTTAATTTAGTAAACAAAAACTCTTAATGTAATATATACGTTTTATAATAACTCAAGTAAAGTGATGCAAAGTAGAAGCGAAGACAAGCGTGCATGCAAGAGCGATAATGGCGGCAAGAGAATAAAGAGCTTATTTAAATGCCTATTAGATGCATAAAATAGATCGTGCATAGATAATTTTTTTTTATCTAAACTTAGATGTCTATAAGATGCCTTTTATAGATTTCTTATAAAAACAAGAAAAAAATTTTAACTAATTTTACGGAGCGATAATTATAAATGACCGCCATTAAAAAACCCTGCGGAAACTTATTTCGAAAAAAGCATGAAGATTTTAACCTATGGAAGACATCAATGATTATTTCTTTATGATAAATTTTAAATAATAAAATAACATGCTATTATAGTTCACAAAATATTTCGATGATTTGATGCTTAGCATGTTTGCTAAAATCCTTGTGACTTGAAATTTATTTTGCAGAATTATTACAAAATTAATATTTCCAAGTTGATATTTTTATTTCTAGAATAAAAGATAATGTAATTAAAATATATACATACATATATATATATATATATATATATATATATATATATATATATATATATATATATATATATATATATATATATATATATATATATATATGTATATATATATATATATATATATTATATAATATATAATATGTATATACTACTGTGATCAAAAAGTAAGATAAATTTTTTTATAAAATGAAAAATCTTTATTTATTCTTCCAAATCTGTATTGTCCCCCTTAAAATAATCCCCCCAACCCAATGCATTTTTGCCAACGTTTTTTCCAGTCTTCGAAGCATGCCGAAAAGTCCTCGGTAGGAATAGCTTCAATGCGCGTGCCGATTCACGTTGGATCTTTTCAATGGACTCAGAACGATTTCCCTGGAGTGGTCTCTTGAGCTTTGGGAACAGCCAGAAGTCACACGGTGCTAAGTCGGGCGAATACGGTGGTTGAGGAGCAACATGGGTAGAGCTTTTGGCGAAAAACTCACAAAGAACCAGTGCTGTGTGCGAAGGCGCATTATCGTGGTGCAAAATCCAAGAGTTATTGGCCCATAATTCCGGTCTCTTTTTGCGAATAGCTTCACGCAAACGTCGCATAACGCTTAAATAATATTCCTTGTTGACAGTTTGGCCAGTTGGAAGGAATTTGTAGTGTACGACACCACAATAATCAAAGAAAACAGTCAGCATGACCTTGATTTTTGAGCGACTTTGACGTGGTTGCTTCGGTCTCGGCTCGCATTTTTCACGGTATTCACTCGATTGGTCGGTTGTTTCAGGGTCGTATGCGTAGACCCAAGTCTCATCGTCAGTAATAATTTGTTTGTAGACGTCTTGATAGTCAGAAAGCATTGCTTCACACGCTTTAACGCGACGCTCTTTTTCAAAAAAATTGAGAAATTTCGGCACCAAACGTGATTTGAGTCTTCTGAGGCCCATATGATCCTTCAAAATCGCTTGCACCGACCCAAATGATATTCCAACCATGTCAACAAGGTCTCGAATGGTTAACCGACGATTTGCAAGCACCAATTCTTTGATTTTGTTGATGTGGCGATCATCAATCGAAGTCGATGGTCGTCCGGAGCGTTCCATGTCATCAACACGTTCTCGGCCTTCTTTGAAGTCTTTGTACCACTTAGTCGTATAACGCTTAAATAATATTCCTTGTAAACATTTTTTTGAGACATAGTCTCTTCACCGATGGCCTTTTGCAACATTCGATACGTTTCAGCAGCAGAAATATCATTCCGCAAACAAAATTTAATAGCACTTCTTTGCTCAACAAAATTAGACATCGAATGCACTTTTGGTACTTCAGAAACAAGCGTAAACAAAAAATAATAATTAAGAGTTTGACATGTAATTTGGCGCAAATGTTAATGACATTCCTACCAACTTAAAAATAAAAAAGATTGGACGATTCGAATAAGACGGGGAGTTTAAATTAAAAATTCACCTTACTTTTTGATCACAGTAGTATAATATATATATATATATATATATATATATATATATATATATATATATATATATATATATATATATATATATATATATATATATATATATATATATATATATATATACATACATATATATATATATATACATATATATATATATATATATATATATATATACATATATATATATATATATATATATATATATATATATATATATATATATATATATATATATATATATATATATATATATATGTATATATATATATATATATATATATATATATATATATATATATATATATATATATATATATATATGTATGTATGTTTATATATATATATATATGTATATATATATATATATATATATATATATATATATATATATATATATATATATATATATATATATATATATATATATATATATATATATATATGTATATATATATATATATACATATATATATGTATATATATATATATATGTATATATATATATATATATATATATATATATATATATATATATATATATATATATATATATATATATATATATATATATATATATATATTGGTTGTGCACTTATCGTTTTTATCGAGAAACCAAGATTCATTTATGTCTTTTACAAAAAGGGCATACAAAAAGGGACGCAGTAGCTACTACGTCTACGTAGACGTGTCCAAAAAGAATATTAAAAAATACTAGAATTTTCATCAGTACATATAGAAAAAAAATCGAATGTTGGAACTTCTAAGAGAAATGATTTCTTATCTTGCGAAAATCTAAAAGAATATTTTGACCATTGTGAGTCATTGATTTTGTACAATGAATACTCTTATGACCAAAAGCCTAATCATTAGGCTAATGAGTCATTGAATTACTCATTAGGCTAATGAGTATAAGCATAACCCAACTTTAAAGGAATGTTTTTCTAACCAAGTAATTATGCACTAAACAAGTGGATTGACAAAGAATAGCAACAAATTTATTGTCCCAAAAAAAAACTATAATCATGCACTGAAAAACAACCTTTTGTCAACAAAAGAATGGCACAAATTTCCATTGATAAAGTGTAAGATAACAGATAGTCAGTATCTAACTTGTTTTGTGTTTTTTTAAAGGTAACTTAATTACTTTTTTGTAGCAAAATATTTTATAATTAGATTCATTTTCATGTTGTGAAGAATACAACTTTCTACATCAGATGAAATATATGTTAAAGAAAGCATTAAAAATAAGAATAACAAATCATACCGCTCTTCATTGCCAGAACCTCCGCCACCTATTATGAATAAGCCCAATGCTAAAAGTATAACACAAATATCATATTTTTTTCTTAGTGGTTTATAAACTGAAATAGATTCTTGTTTAATTTGATCTGAATAATATCTATCTAGCTATTAGTCTTTTTTATGTATTACTAAGATTTTCCTTTTATCTTAACTATTTGGGTGTCCTATTATTTGTAATGTTGTTAAATTGGTTACATATATTTATATGATTGACAACATTCTATTGTATTAAATAATCATTTAATCAACTTGATATGAAAATTGAAAATTGATTGAAAGCATGCTGAAATTGTTTAAATTCAGAAATTGAAAGAGTACAAAATTGGTTGAAAGATTAAATTAAGTAACAGGTATGGTTGAGGGATTATTTATAGTTCTAATTATAATTATTTCTTTTGAATAGAGTTGTTATCATATTCAAAGATTGAAGAAGATATTTTTTCTTCACATTTTATTGATGAACAGAATAAAACCAAGCAAAGTTCACATTGTCAAAGAGTTTCAAGTTTTAATATGAGTATTTTTGGTTTTTACACCACTGAATGTTAATGTGGAGGTCTTTTTTATTAATTTGTTTTTGTATTAAAATATTTGTCTTATTTTAATACAAAAAAAGAAAGGTATAAAAGAATAGAAATGGATTATTTATAATATTGTGATCCGATAAATCACGTGTGTAGCATTTTACCTTTAGTAGTTAAACAAAATTCTTTAAAATCGTAACCTTTTTCCAAAATATTATGGCAACTTCTGCGATGGAGTAATAAAAAAACTTACATGTATTTTTGGAATTTTAGTTTGAGTTACTCAAGCATAATTTGAATTTTAAAGTTCTTATTTCATTGTTTTGCTATTTGGTTTTATGAGCTAAATGTGTTAATCAATCTTTTTATTCTTGTTTGTAGAGATGCAAAATGTTATTCTCAACGAGCTTGCAGAAAAGTTCTCTTAAAAGAAGTTATAGAAATTAAGTTTTTTTATCTTTTAGTTTATTATCCAGTGTAACCTGGATAATAAATTTAGTTTATTATCCAGGTTACACTGGATAATAAACTAAAAGATAAAACCGAGTATACTAATTTGGTATAATCAATTATTTTATTTTTTAATAAGTTTGTTTAAATTTGGTTTACTAGTTTAGAATCTAAATGAAAAGTATTTGTAAATGAACTAAAATAACTAGCTTGTGTTAGACTCAATATGTTGTAAAGAAATTTAAGTTACACTAGTTTTTATTACATTAATTTCAGCTTGATAGTTTGAAAAAGATTGGTGGTGGAAAGCTAAGAGAACATGTTTTTTTGATCATGAAAAGGTAAATGATTATGTTTTTATTAATTATTAGGAATATGATTAAAAGGGACCAAAAGCAATTCATTTTGACTGTTATTTGTTATTGATTTACTTTTAACATGACAATTTGATAAACTCGGGAGTTTCACTGTAGGTGTTTAAGTTTGTTTGTGTGCTAAAGTAAGTGTAATGCTAAACCTTGTTTTTAGCATTTTATTTTCAAATTTAATGCTTTTAATTTTCATAATTTTAAGCATTCGTATATTAAAATATATTTTAATTTATTACATATATTTAAATGAAAATTTTTATAAATATATTTCAGTTTATTGTTAAAATATTTATCAGGTTATTTTCGAATCAGTTACAGTCCAAATTTAATCGAAAAGGAAATGGGGAAAAGATAAGCTTAGAAAATCTGGTAAATATATGGAGTGTTTTACGAGGTATAGTTTTAATAGTATTTACGAAACTGATATCTGTATTAAAAAGATATTCTTCGACTTTTTTGTGTCATGCTCGAATTTTTGTATCCATAATACAAGTTCCTTTAGTTTTTTTACAAAACAAGTGCAACTTTTTTGGTTTGTTTCATTTTCTCAAGTCTGGTCCGTGTCAACGTCACGGAAGTTTTTTAATAATTAAAGGAAGTATCCAGAAGTTTCCAGAAATATGCAGAAACTTTCAGAAGTTTCCAGAAGAAGCATCAGGAAGGATCCAGAAGTATCCAGAAACATTCAGAAGCATTCAGACGCATCCAGAAGCTTCCAGAAGTATTGAGAAAAAGCATCTAGAATTTTCCAGAACAGGTTCACACAGGTTCATTTTACTATATATAAGACAAATAATTCAGTCAGTATATGGAAGTCAATCAGTCAGTATTATCAAGACAGTTTATCGAAGTGAGTTTTATCAAAGTGTTTTATCGAAGAACATCGATACCAGAAGTGATTTCAGTTCAGAAGTGATTGGTTATTTATTTTTATTATTTTTATGACTTCAAGTGCAAAAATGGTTCCCGACAGTCTTGGATTTTAACTAAGAGAGAAAATTATTTGCGATTACTTAAGTGGAATGTCACAAAAAAGTATTTGTGATAAATATCGCGTGAAAAAATAGATCGTATCAAGACTATGTTTCAAATATTGTTTCACAGGAAAGTTGGCAGCAGATAACAATGGTGGAAGACCTCGTTCCACCACTTCTAGAGAGAATTCTATGATCGTCAGATCTGTCAAGAAGGATCCCTGGATATCATCAGTTGAGATACAAAAGCAATTAGAGCTGCCTGTACGTCAAGCCGCCGGAAAACGCCTTTATTTACGTTACTGCCATAAGACCGTGAAGCATGGTGGAGGCAATGTAATGGTCTGGGGGTGTTTTTCTTTTACGGTTTAGGTCCAATACATCGAATCGATGGAATAATGGACCGTTTTATGTATAAAATATCCTCAAAGATGTTATGTTACCTCATGCTGAATGGAATATACCAATAAAATAGGTTTTTCAGCAAGACAACGATCCCAAACACACTGCAAAAGTAGCCAAGCAGTGGTTTCAAGACAACCATCTATTGGTGATGGATTTCCCGCCTCAATCTCCGGATCTCAACCCTATCGAGACCCTGTGGGAGATCGTTAACCGCAGAGTTAATCATGAATGTGTTCGTAATAAGGATCAACTGTTTGAACAAATTCAAAAGGCCTAGGCAGCGATTCCACAAAATTTCATTGATCACTTGATCGAATCTATGCCTTAAAGATGCAAGGCTGTGATCAACAACAAAGGATTCACTACAAAATATTGACAGCAAAATACAGCTTGGTCAACATTTTGTGGAGTTGCACTTGTTTTGTCCAGAAGGAAATCAACTTTTTTTAATACTTTTGATTAATTTATTAATTTTCGTGTACAAATAATGAACTTTGTGATGAATAAAATTTGAAGAACGTTAACATATATATATATATATATATATATATATATATATATATATATATATATATATATATATATATATAATATTTCATAAGAATAGATTCAGAATTCTACATGTCTTTTAAAGTCATTTAAATGTCATTAATGTATATATTTTAGATACCGGCGACGTGGAAGAAAATGTTGACGGTAATGCAGAAATATAGTTTCTTATGTATATTTTTGTGAAATAAAAATTAAGTAATGTTAGTTAAAATGTATCTTTACTTATTTAATTTAATCCTTTTTTATGACTAATTCAACCGCTCTAACATCTTTGTATCAAACAAGTGCCAGCAAACAAAAAGATATCTAAAATGCATCTAATATGCATCTAAAAACTGGTCTAAAAGACGTCTAAATTCACGTCGTGAACGGGACATAAATAGATGTCTATCTTATAGATGTCTTTTAGATGCATTTTATTCGACACAAATAAATGCCTTAGATGCATAAAAGATGTGAAATATACATTTAAAGATGTATATTAGATGTATATTAGATGCATAAAAGAGCTATTATTAGCTAAAAAATTATCTATTATCTATCTTTTTTAAACTCGCCTTAGACATCTATTTAAGAGACGTATTTTATACATCTAATATGCATCTGTAAGATGTATATTTCACATCTTTTATGCATCTAAGGCAATTATTTGTGTCGAATAAAATGCATCTAAAAGACGTCTATAAGATAGACGTCTATTTATGTCCCGTTCTAGACCTGAATTTAGACATCTTTTAGACCAGTTTTTAGATGCATTTTAGATATCTTTTTGTTTGCTGGGAGTGCGAAGCAGTTGTAAAAACTGGAAAAAGTGTGAACTGACATAAGTGCGAATTGGATTAAGTTTGCCGAATAAAATTGAAAATAATGGCATAAGAGCGAAATGGCACAAGTGCGAATTGCCGAAAGAATTTGCAAAGATTGAAAGTACAAATTGGCATAAGTGCGGATCTCCATGCCAATGTTTTCAAATGCACCACATAATTATTACAAATCACCACAAAATCTATTATACCTTTTAATTTTGTATAATTATGTATAACTATACAAAATTAAAGGTATAACAGATTTTGTGAGAGAAATACTTTTAACGTGGTTGGGTCCTTATTTTTTTAATTAAATTATAATTTAAGATGACGGTGATATCTTTTTTCTAGTATATTAGTATATTAATGTGGTGCATTCAGCGTGGTACAAAGTTGCAAATAAAAGTCTTCAAAGATTTTTTCGGATTTTTGAGTACGAGCAATTCTAGAAAGCCATTTTACATGAGGTATCTGTTTATAAAGTATACTAAACAGGGTCTTCTCAAACTAATATAGATAAAATAAAAAAGTAAGCCACGAAAGCTTTCAGACATCCTACCTAACAAAGATTGTCTTTAAATTTTTATGGCGTCACACTATGCGTCTCTTTAATTCAAAATAAGGAAATAGGCTTATAATTAAGGAAGCATTCAACATATTATACTGATCTTTTCACAAAACATTAAATTTTCGTTTATATTTCTATATTTAAAAGAAAAACACACGGGCACTATCCTTTAAAGCTTTTACAATATTGTAAACTTTTCAACGTAATTACGTCGAAATTTTGTAACTACATTGTAAAATTTAAGCCGTCCTATAAAACAATGACGTTTTTATGTAATTGGCGTTTTTTTGTAAAATCTAAAAATATATCTCGCAAAAGCGATTTGAAATTGCGCGCTAATTTAACATTGACTTTAACTAAAAAACAAAACAAGATATCGCTTTAATAACACTTATTAACCAACATAGAAAAGTTTAAAAAAAAAATAATGACCTATTTTTAAAATAAATTTTATAAAAAAAATTGGCATTATTTCTGCAATGATAAAAATATTAAAATAATTCGGTTTTTTCGAAAACTAAATATTTATTTAGCCTACAAATAAATAAGATAAAAACCTTAAAAAAAAGAAGAATAATACACTACCAGCAAAGTTAGTGGATGGATATAAAAAAATGTTTCAATTTTCAAACGAGGCCAGTATGGTTGAAACATTAATTACACTTTACCTTAAGTTAAGTGAAAAAAGGGGTTTGCACTGAATAACTTGTTATTATTGTTAAATCAATTTTTAAATTTTAAAGTAACCATCTTGGTTTTAATTATAGCTTCACTTCGTTGTTGCGATCATAGCCTTACTTCCTTGTGGCAAATTCTTATCAACTTTTGCAAAAACCAAAAGCATAATTTAATATTTTTATAATCCTATATAAAGGAGATTGTTTTCTATGAAATAATTACATGAAAACAAAGTAAAAGAAAACTAACTTTTATGAGAATGCTTACTAAAGAACAGAAAACTGTTATGGCTAATTTCATTTTGCAAAACAAAGAGAAAATGATCGGTTCTCTTTCTCCATTATGCAACAATCAAGATTGAAAAGAAAAATGACAAGAAGTTAGAAATCTTCTTGTAGCTAACAGTCTTTCTTCCACTGTTTCAGTTGAACATGTTCGGACAACTGAATGGCAAAACCTAAGAAGATCAACAATGGATAAGTTTAAAAAACTCAACAAATCTGGTGTTGAAGGTGGTCAATTATTCGATTATGAATGCACTGTGATGGAGATCATTCGAAAAGAATCAGCACATATTCTACCAGTTAATGTTGATGACATGAGAGTTGGAAAGAAAGTATTGATAAAAAAAATTGCCGGCGATACCGTTCTAAATGAAAACATTTCTTTAGATAATTCTGTAGACATCCCAGACCCAGTTAATTTTGTATCATATTTAAAAATCAATAAACTTTTTCTTAGATGTTTTAAAAAGTTATTTGAACCAGTTATAACAGTTGTTGATAAAAATTCTAAATAAAAATTACAAAGTAGATGTTAAAGTGGTACGGTGGTTGATAAATGCAACATATGTATAAAATTAAAATTATCAATGTTTTCATTTTAAGTTAAAGTAAACTCTAATTTATAGAAATCTCAATTGGGCAAGACGCTAGTTCATCAACCTCTTGCATTGTTGTACAAGTTAATCCAGCCTCTAGCCTAGAGCCTGTCTCTAAAACGTCTCTCGAAACAGTTCCAAAATCTTTAGCTGCAAGATCGATTGCCCAGAATATACCAGCTATATCTACAAGTACTAAACGTTCTGTAAGAAGCTTATTTTATAATAATCATTTAACTTTTGCTATAATGTATTACTGTATCTTCCTATGTGCCCAGTTAATAACATTCTAGTTTGTGTTAAATAGTCACTAAAATATTAGTGTAACTTTTTAATTTTTTAAACACTTATTAATTGATATTATCATATGCATGCAAAAATTTATTTTAAACTGTAAACGTCATAAAACATAATTTAAGTCTCCACTTTCACATATTTTTTTAAGCATCTTTAAGTAAAATTGTTTAGTCTTTGACAAAACGGTCGGCATCATCATCATCTAACATCTTTTCGGGTAATGAGTACGGCACATTAAAGAAAGCCAAAATCAAGCAGGAACTGGATATTTTAAATAAAGAGGCTGAGTACAGAGCTGAACGTCATCTGATGAAGAAAATTCGGTTAAAGGCGGAAATCGAAAAAGTTATTCTTGAGCAACAACTTCTCCGACCTCAAATCCAGTCTTTAACTCCTCAAGACGCCTAAACATCCCAACCAAATACTTTCAGTCTTAATGAATCATAAAAACTTTTATATTCTTTATTAAAACTTTTTATATTTTTATTAAGGAATATATTATGTACTAACTCTAGATTAAAAAATCTGCAAAATTTAAGAGCTGCTAAGTGGTTAAAGAATATTTCAATATAAGTTACTCAAATTAGGGTCAGGTAAAAATTAAGCAAATGTCGAAACTCCTCAACTCCAACCTCCCATATACCTGAACAAGACAAAAATAAGTACATACAAAATTTTCTAGATATTACATTATATTAGACAGCTTTTTATTTTTCTTTCCAATACCAGTGGTATAAGTAAAAACGACGCTCCATGTATACGGCTACTTTCTTAAAAGTTAAACTTTATGTTCCATAGGGTTGAATTTGGTTATCAGCTGTCCAATATAATATAAATCTAATAACCTAATAAAAAATTAACAAGAGAAAAACTCAAAATTTTTGTTTGAAATTTAATAATTTTTTTAAAACTAAAATTTAATAAACTGTGTTTATTTATATCAGTTAAACAACTGCAGTATTTGATCCGTGCGAGTACCTGATTGAATTTCAGCTTGAGTGTCGTCTTAAGCTTGAAAGGGAAAAGGTGTGGCAGGTAAAACTGAAAAATCTTCATCCTTATCACCAACTTTAAGGCACATGTTGTGAATCATACAAGCACACACAACAAGTTTTGCAGCATTTTCTACTTTAGAAAATCAAATAGGTTCTTGCAGAGAGTAAAACCTGTTTTTCAAAACCCCAAAACAAGGCTTGATAATATTTCAAGTTTTTCGGTGCACGTCATTGAACCGACGCTTGGAGGCTGTTTGGTTGTCATTGTAAGGTGTGATGAGTCAGTTGTTGCAGGGGTAGCCATAGTCATCTAAGACAACTGCTCCAGGAAAAATTTGACCACCCCTGACCTCAAAAGCATTCTAAAGTGCTGATTGACATAACACCTAAAATGTTTGAATAGGAAATCTAAATTTTTCAAACTTGCTGGTTATTAACATTCTAAATACTCTAAATATGAAAAATGGAGAAAATATAATATTTTGTAGAGTATAAATTTTTTCGTTTTTCAAAATAAAATATCAAAATTGTTTATGTATATTTAATATCTATTTTAGATAAGAAACAAAGTCCATGAAAATAAAAACTTTACAGAATTGTTTATATGGATGTTACACTAGTTGTATACATATCTGTTTACGTTTTAAAATATTTAGATAATTAATAAACTAAATCTAAATAACAGTATTAAGCTAAAATTTATTTTATACAAATTCAGTTAACAAAAACTTACCCTAGAATTATGTCATCGCCCAGTTCCATCAGCGTAAACATAATAAGCATTCAAATCTGAAAAAAATTCAAAAAGTTTTAAACTACTTTAAATATAACAATTCCATCCATACAAAAACAAAGAATACTACATCAAAAAACCAGCTATACAGAGACAAAAAAACAAAAAAAGAAACTTTAAGAATCTTAGCAGTCTTTCCAGATATATTAAATTGAATTTTTATAAACACCTTGAAATTTACATAATCCATATTTTAACTGTTAAAGCAAAGTAATCATTCAATTGTAATAACATATACCCAAAAAATATAAAAAAAATTAATTTGATCTCTTGGGGATAAACTTTTATTTTTACAAGTCAGATGATGCAGATCATCTTTAAGCAATTCTTTAAGCTCATCCAGAACTGAAAGCGGCACTCTACACCTTTCACAAAAAGTAGCATCACATATATTGTCTTAAAACTTGCCTTCCTGAAACATATGTATATATATATATATATATATATATATATATATATATATATATATATATATATATATATATATATATATATATATATATATATATATATATAAACACACATCCATGTGTGTATATAAATACATGCTCATTTTTAGTTACTGGTTTTTCAAAAAGATTGATTATCTTTATCAAAAATATTGAATTGTCTTTGTATTTTAAATAAAAAAAATTGTTCTTTATAATTAAAAAATTGAAATTTAAGAGCAAAACACAATTGCTTTTTACCAGTTGAGGTTGTCTGTTAGTGACACTTTTTTGAAAATTCAACATCTGAATCTGACTCAGATTTGTTCCTTTTACAAGTTTGAAATTTGCTATAAACTTTTTTTTTTGAAGTTTTTTATAAACTATTAAAGAACTTTTATGAAGAAAATACAAGAATTTATTTATTTATTAGCCTCTTATTTTTACTAAGAATTGAAATATGGCAAATAAAGAAACAAACAAGAAAAATAACTTAACTCAGATATCTTTTCAAAAGAAATCTGAGTCAAGTTATATTTCTTGTTTGTTTCTTCATTTGCCATATTGGTCAGTGCAAAAGATTCTTTTGCACTGACCAGATTCCTGAAATAGAATCAACAGATAAAGAATAGAAAAGAAACTAACTAAAGAATATTAATAGACACAAGAAACAACATGCCCTCTCTAGTTTTTTTTAGAAGAAAGTAAATAGTTATAAAATATGTTATTCTTTAAGCATATGCTTCAAGTATTTATTTGCTTAGAAGAAAATAAGTAGTTATAAAATATGTTATGCTTTAAGCATATGCTTCAAGCAAGTATTTGTTATTATTAATATTAATATTAAATAATATTAAAAGTATATTAATTTATTTATACTTATAGTAAATATTATGTTATTTATAACAAGCATACATTTAATATTAAATACTAAAGTATGCATTGCTTGCTTATGCATACTTTAAAAAGCATTGCTTGCTTATGCATACTTAAAAAGCATTGCTTGCTTATGCATACTTTTGTATTTAATATTAAATACATGCTATTAAGATAAATAAATTCATATAATATTAATACTATTTAATACTAATATTAATAACAGCAAATACTTTTTGTAAATACTTTAGACTCTAAAGTATTTACAAAAAGTAAATACTTTAGAGTCTAAAGTATTTACAAAAATTGTAATTAATATTGAATTTTATTGAGTTAAAAATGTAAAAATATATCAAAGATATTGAAAATAAGTAAAGTAGTGAAAATAATAATTATTTTGTATTTGGTTTACTTACTTTAAAATTTAAGAAATAGTTTTATAATCTTAAAAATTTAAGAAATAGTTTTATAATTTTTAACTAGTAATTAACTAATCTAGAAAGATCTATATCGTGAACTAAAATGTTATACTGATAAGCTTTTCTGCGTTGAATTTTAAAAAAAACAACTTTTTTTATAGCCACTAGTTATTAAAAAACATCTATTAGAACGATGAGAAACTTTGCAACTTACAAAGTAAGAAACTTTGTAACTTACAAAGTAAGTAACTTTCAATATAAAAAAACTAAAGAACAAAGAATCAGATGATAGCAGATCTGTTGATAGTTTTAATAAATTTATATTCAATGATATTGTTTTAAAATTTCTTAAAAAGTTATAAATTATCAGTGCCTACTGTTTTTTGAACAAAAATATCGGGCATATGTAATTTTCCGGAATAGTCAGAAATTAGTCCGGATAAACCGTAAACTTTTTTTTTAAAAAAAAAAACATTTTGCCAATCGAATTGCTAAGAGTACGTATACACATTTTTTAAAATTTAAAACACTTTTTAGAGATTCTTATGTATGTAGAGTTCTAAGACTTTTGTTTTTTTCAGTGTTTGTTAAAAAATATTACTATTTAATAACAAATACTACTTGAAAATACTTTAGTGAGATACGCATCTCTCTAATTTAGAATTCTACATACATAAGAATCTCTAAAAAGTGTTTTAAATTTTAAAAAATGTGTATACGTACTCTTAGCAATTCGATTAGCAAAATGTTTAATATAGTTTGCAGTTTAAAAAACCGTTTTGCTTTTTAAATGACTTTATATTAACTTATTACATATTTTGAATGTTTAAAGTAAGTAAACCAAATACAAAATAATTATTATTTTCACTACTTTACTTATTTTCAATATCTTTGATATATTTTTACATTTTTAACTCAATAAAGTTCAATATTATTTACAATTTTACACACCTCTCGGGCAGTGTAAAATTGTAGATTTGTAATTGTAAAACAAAAAATCGCCGTAAACTGTTTATAGGACTGTTTAACTTTACAATGTTAAGGCGAGTTTCCACTTATCTGTTTTTATACGGGAACGGGAAAGGGACGAGAAAAAAATCACGTGGGCATGCGTAGTATAAGCTTTAATATGTCCGAAGGAAAACTACGCATGCTCACGTGATTATTTTTCCCTTTCCTATCCCGTTCCCGTGAAAAAACGGATGAGTGGAAACTCACCTTAAACAATGTAGCTGCTATACATTGTAAAAATTTACATTGTAAATTCGCTTTATAGGATAGGCCCCCGGTTTTTTTTTTTAAAAAAAATTTACGGTTTATCCGGACTAATTTCTGACTATTCCGGAAAATTACATATGCCCGGATATTTTTGTTCAAAAAACAGTAGGCACCGATAATTTATAACTTTTTAAGAAATTTTAAAACAATATCATTGAATATAAATTTATTAAAACTATCAACAGATCTGCTATCATCTGATTCTTTGTTCTTTAGTTTCTTATATTGAAAGTTACTTACTTTGTAAGTTACAAAGTTTCTTACTTTGTAAGTTACAAAGTTTCTTACTTTGTAAGTTACAAAGTTTCTTACTTTGTAAGTTACAAAGTTTCTCATCGTTCTAATAGATGTTTTTTAATAACTAGTGGCTGTAAAAAAAGTTGTTTTTTTTTAAATTCAACGCAGAAAAGCTTATCAGTATAACATTTTAGTTCACGATATAGATCTTTTTAGATTAGTTAATTACTAGTTAAAAATTATAAAACTATTTCTTAAATTTTTTAAAAAAAACAACAACAACAAAACTTTGAATTATTATTTTAAACTAAATTGAGATTTCTTTACCAAAATAAAAAAAAAAAAAAAAATAGTCTAAGAAAAAGTCTAAACTAATAACAATAGCATAACATTAAATAGCAATCTCAGGCAAAGATGATACTTAGAATATAAATTGTACAGATTGTGACATAGGTATGGTTTTTTGTAAAATGTTATTAGTAATGATTGCAAATAGATATTCAAATTTCTGATTGAAAATTTATATCCACTCTTGTAATCGTGGTGTTCATTTCAATGAGTAAGTCTCGAAGCAACTTATTTATTCAGATTTAGATGCTCTTTGTGGTACACTGAAAATAATAAAAAAATAAACTTAAAAGTGTTTTTGTGAAACATAGTAAAAACAATTTGTGTGTCTGTGTGTGTGTGTATATATATATATATATATATATATATATATATATATATATATATATATATATATATATATATATATATATATATATATATATATATATATAAATATATATATATATATATATATATATATATAGAAAACTGAGGATATATATACATATATCCTCAGTTTTTAAGTGAAATGCAATAAGTCTAAAAGCATTATTTTGAGATAATGAACAAATAAGTTTTTTTATAATAGTTAAAATAATAAGTTTTTGTGTAATAGTTGAAACAAAAAAATCCAAATAACTCATTAACAATTGGTTTATTAAATTTGTATGGTGTATCAAACGATTGCATCTCCCTAGTATACCGACGATATATATATATATATATATATATATATATATATATATATATATATACATATATATATATATATATATATATATATATATATATATATATATATATATATATATATATATATATATATATATATATATATATATATAGACGTTGCGCCAGCAAAACAAATCGCACTCTGCCAAGTAAAATACGACGGTTAGAATTAATAGTTTTAATCGTACAAAATAATTATTTACAAAATTTTTATAAAAATGATGTTTTGTTTTGAATATATATATATATATATATATATATATATATATATATATATATATATATATATATATATATATATATATATATATATATATATATATATATATATATATATATATATATATATATATATATATATATATATGATTATAAGAAATGGATTATTAGTTTAAAATCACTTTAGTTTTTTATAAAAGTCCCAGCTGGATCATACAGGCGTCAAATGAGCTCGAAAGTTGATCTTAAAAATTTGTCGATGCGTGTCGCGATCAGCCAGCAATGCTGATCTTTAGAGAAAACTAATTACTTTTTTTCAATAATTCGTTTTCTTATACTTACAACTTTTTGTGGTTGTAAACTTTCTAAAATTTCGCTTAATTAATAGAATGATATAAATATTGTTTACTATCAGTAAAAAGTATAAAAGCTTTCAAAGAGGTAAAGATTAAAAATATTACTTTAAATTAACAAATAATTAAAAACTATACACACTGAAAACTACAAAATTGACAAATTTGAAATAAGATTTCTGACTTTCGTAACCCTATATGAATTTTGTAAGTTTTCTATTTTAATTACCTATAATAATTTTAATAATATAATATCAATTAACTTAATTTATAATTATAAATCAATCATATTATATAATTATTAAACAGTTAATTTTAACAAATATATGTTTTATAAAATAGAAATAAATAATTTATTAAATGAAATTAGTGAATTAAGATTATCGTCGAAACACTTTTTTTACTATTATTGATTACTAGATTTCTTAAAATATATTAAATAAACGATTGAATCGATGTTTATAACAATAAATATGTAATGTAATTCTTTATTATATCAACTTTAGTTCTTTTTTATCATTCAACTTATTTTACTGATTTGTTTTATTTCTGTTTATTTATTTATTTTTTTTTGCAACTCTAATAGGTACCTACGTATTAGGTGTGTTAACTGGGGACAAAAGCAACTAGCAAAATGACGACTACGGGAAAAATATTAATCACATTAATATTGATTGAATGTGTTTGGAACTCTAATGGTATGTGAAACTCTTATTAAAGAATAACCTTTAAACAACTATTTTAATTTTTGTATCTTGTTTAAGAGCGAAATTTATTGGATTTAATTATTATTGGATCCAATATTATTTATTATTGTCGACTAAGATTAATGGCAACCTAAAATATTATTTTAATTAAAAAAAAAAAAAATTGTTGGATAGTTAGAGGGTTTCTTAAATTTCAAAAGAAAAAAGATCGGATGTTTGGTCCTGGTTTGGAAGAAAAAAATGTTTTTAATATAAATATGTTGATTGCACCAAAAAGGAGCCAAGCTTGAACTTTCGTCTCAAGATCTGCTGCAAGATCTGTTGCTAGACGTGCTCCACCTATTAAAACTTAGGTGTGATTATTAGTTCAGTAACATGATTTTACAAAATTTGTTTCTGAACAACAGTATAATTGTTTCTAGATAACTGTAGTTGTTTCTTACCAAAATTGATCTTGTCTTAAAAACAGTAACTGTTTCTTGGCAACAGTGATTATTTTTTTGTGCTCAAAAAGCTTTTACTCATTTTTTTCTTTCTGGAAATTTAGCGTTATGGAACTCTTCGCTTCTATTTCCTGAGTCATATAGTTTATAATTTGAATCTTCTGTTTACTGTCTCTCTTTCTCTTTATCTTTTTTAGCTATTTATCTTCTATTAGTCATTGTCATCTTTTTCATTTTCTCTATTATTTTTATAAAAACTTTTAACTTAAAAAGTGGAAGCTTTATTGGAGTTGAATTTGTATATAAAAAGGTAACTTTATTATTTCTATATAAATAAATAATAAAGTTTATAAACCCTAAAATAGATTGTCAATCTTTCAAAAAAATTGAAAATGAATTGGTCTAATTGATATTTATCAAATAAAAATCAGTAAATACAATATGAAAAAGTTTAAACAAAGTTATAACATGCAGGCTACTTCAAGGCTTAATTTTAGAACATTATTATTTTCTCTTTGTAAAAATGTTTTATTTTTTGCCACAAACTAATTAAATTTTATTTTATTTGCTCAAATCTGTTTTATTATCATCGAAACTTGAGCAGCCGTGGCGCAGTGGTTCGAGTTCTGGCTCAGAACCTAGAGGTCTAGGGTTCGACGCCGGCTCCAGCCCAATAAACGACATTGGTAAGAAAGAAGGCGTGAACCTCTAGTTAAATGCTCTCCCGCGGTGCTCCGTGATAAGACCGTAAGGACTTCTGGGAGCACCTAAATAACCTTAAAAAAAAACTTTAGTAGTAAACAAAAAAGTAAGCAATGTAAACAAATGGTTAGAGTCAATTACTTAATTTGTAACTTACTTGACTTAAAAATAACTTACTTGAGCAAAATTATTAACTTTTATTAACAACAATTTTTAGTGAAATTATAAAAAAAATTAATAAAACCCTTTACCAATTTTCTTTCAAATAAGGTAAATAGTTATACAAAACTTTTTTACTTAATTTAAAAAAAATTAAGTAAAAAAATTTAACTAATATCTTGCGGTTTATTATATGATTTTTGTGATATTTAACCGATTGAGGACTGTAAGAGTCACACTAATTATTTAAGTGAAAGTAATACATTTTTAAATTTATGTGTTTACCAAAGCGTTCCTCATCAGTATTAATTTTTATAGTTATCAAATCGCAAACCATTCTGAAGCCAGCACTCTGTAAATATAAAGTATGAACATAGAATTAATCAAAATGTAAAGTATGAACATAGATATCTCTTAATATTGAAAAAACGAAATGGTCTCTTATTCATCCATTCTACGAAAAACATCTTTTACCAAGGGAATTGTTTGCTCTGTTTATTGATGACATGCAAATTAAAAAAGTAACGGCTACAAATTTATTTCAGCATTTTTATTGATGAAAATCTGATATGGAAAAGACACATTAAAAAAATTACATCTAAAATCTCCAAAAGTATATGAATACTATTCAAAATAAGAAGCATTCTAAATGAACATACTTTATAAATAAACTTTAATTCAGCTATACCACTCTTTTATTCATTGCCATCGAAACTATCACTACCTTATTTATTTCATCCTTTAAAAGATGACTGCTTTTTTTCCACCTTTGAAGCCGTTTATTCTCTTAAAACCGTATAAGGTTTAAAAAGTTCATTAACTATGCTAATGCGGCTTTGGGTAGTGTTAACAAAAGTAAATTAGAACCACACTACTTCCAACAAAAACATGTTGCACGACTTATTAATTTTAAGCATCGTTTTTATCATCCTAAACCTCTTTTAAATAAAATTAATATTCTTTATATATATCAACTTAATATTTTTATTGTTTTTTTTCTTTTTTCAAGAATGGAACTTTTTCTTATTTAAAAGAAAATTATCGTAATTTATAATACAAAATCTTTAATCTTGACATATATATATATATTTACTTTCTTTACTTAACTTTTATTTTTGTAATATATACTTAAGACGCCAATGTATTATTTTTAGTACATCTTATATTTTCTACTAGCGAGTTCTAATATCTTAATTATACATACAAATATTTACTTTGTACAATCAAATTTTTTAATGTAAAATTGAATTTAACTGATTTATGTATAATTTTGCACGTACAACAAATAATAAGTATCCATCTGTTATATTTACGTGATTTATACGTATGATAAAGATAAGTTTGTATTAGTATATATTATTTATGTGTATTATTTATATGTATGTTTATCTGCATGTATATATATTTGTATGTATACACATATATATGAATATATAAATGTATTCATGTATGTCTATATGTAAGTGTTAGTAAATATATTTATATTTTTGTATGTTTATATGTGTGTAAATAATTATATATGTATTTATGGGTGAATATCCATATATGTATTATTAAACAACTATCTTTTATTTAAAATTTTTTTAGGCGGTTCTCGATGACAAGATCTTATGATCTTCTGCGAGTATCCGTATTATTGTAAAGTTTACAAAATTTGTAATTCTTATTATATGTATTTTGTTCATTCTTTTATTGTAAAACTTATTTTGAATAAATAAAAAGAACAAAAAAAAAAAAAATTTTTGCACCACGGCTACTAAAAACCATATTTTAAATATAATACACAGCTACTAAAAACCTCATTTTAAATATAATACAATAATAATAATAATAATGATAATAATAATAATATTAAAACATAATTTAATGGGTAATATTCCATCAATATTGCTCAAAAAATATATACTTTTTCTCCAAATAACTTATAATATATAAATAACAGGAGAACCTCAAGACTTGGTGCTGGGACCCATAATTTTGTTTTATACATTAATGATATGTTTGACAATATTACATGTCACTGCAAGCTGTTTGCAGACGATATAAAGATATTAGCTGCTGTTTCTAATGAAATAGACCACTTAAATTTACAACATAATGTTAATAAAATATGACAATGGGCTAAAACACGGTCTATGATTTTCAACGAGGAAAAATATAATGTAATGCATTTTGGTCAAAATAACCAGAATTATAGCTACGAATTAAATAAACATAAAATAGAAGCAATTAAAAAGAAAAAAAATTGGGTGTATGCTTCACAAAAGACCTTAAATGAAAGGAACATATAGCAACTGGAACTTATAAAGCAAACTGTTGATTAGCATTAAAAAGTAATTACAGAATCGTAATAAGACAATTATATCTATCTTTATTAAGACCTCACTTGTCTGTTATTCGTACTTATAAGGTGACATTAAAACTGTAGAAGTCATAAAAAGAAAAAAAGTTAATGAGTTAAGAAATAACAGCAATGAAGGCTAGCTAAAAAGAATTGTAAATTATGTCTTAAAAAAACACAGAGAGCAAGGGGTGACCTAATCTATCAATATAAAATCCACAAGAGATTCGAAAACTATCAATTGCTTAAGCCCTTTAAATACCAACCAAATGCATTTGAGAAATCAGCAATCCATCACTGTGCAGATCCTAAAATCGTTTTTACCAAGATTAAAAGAAAATTGTTTTTTTTATCAACAGAATTGTAAACAATTGGAATAAACTAAGTTCACAAACAGTGAATCATATATATATATATATATATATATATATATATATATATATATATATATATATATATATATATATATATATATATATATATATATATGATTTTAGTCGGTAAATTTGACCCTTTTTGGCTATTTAGTCGACAAATGTAAACCCTTTCGACAGGTTGGTCGGTAAATTGAGACAGTCAGTCGGCAAATTATGTTGTTATGGCAGTCAGAGGGTAGTTGGCAAATTTTAAAAAACAAGGCCCTTTTTTTTTTTTTTTAAGTCAGCAAAAGTTTTAATGACCCTCACCACCCCCTATATATATATATATATATATATATATATATATATATATATATATATATATATATATATATATATATATATATATATCTTGAATTACAACGTATATTACTAATATTAGGAATTTCATGTCATCTCTCCAGCCTAACTTATTGACAATCACATCTGTTCCATTCACAAGCTTTGCTTGCATTTCCTCATAACTGTTCATAACTGAGGTACAAAAGGATATTCAATGTTTGGGGATTTAATGGGATTTTATTCCAATTTCCTCATCCATTACCACACGTAGAATCCTATTAAACACGTGATGTTGGCAAGAAATAAACAGCGGTTTGTCAAATCCATTTGCTGAAAGCATTCGCTTAAGTCTTACAACAACACCATTCTTTTCATCAGTGTTAACACTACCTGTGTCAGGCACTATCATCTTTGCAGCTCTCCATAAATTATATTCCTCAAAAACTGTCAAAATTTCATCTGCAATAGTTTCTGCCTTTCCATTTTTCAAGCACAGTGCAGCTAATTTAGTTTCAATTTTTTTGTTTTTCAATACTACAAGCAGATATTAGTTTTCATTAAAGTACTTTCCATCAAAATGAGGAGACCGCTGTTCAGTTTTTAAGTTTTTCATCATCTCTTTTTTCAGTTTAAAAGCTTCTTTAA